ACCCCCAGAACCGCAGTGGGGACTGTGGGCCTGTGGGCCGGGCTGAGCAAGGAGCAGCAGCCCCTGCTTGTAAAAACCTGTCCTGAGGCTGCTCATTCCCCTGGCATCCAAGGGGGAATCCCAAGCCAAGGAAAGGGCTATTTCCATCTCAGCAGAACAGAAATCCCTTTCTCCTGAGGCCAGGCAGGCCCGTGCCAGCGAGCAGCACCTCACCCAGTGCCAGACAGACCACCCTGAGCATCTCAGCTGCAGCTGCTGCAGGGAGCCCGGGCACAGCACCAGAACTGGCAAAATAAGGAAATGCTTTAAAAATACCCACCCTATGCAGAGTTATTTGGGATTTGGGTGAGGATCATTCTACTCAGCTTAGGGGCAAAATATTTAAATAAAAATTTGCCTTTTTTCACACTGAGATTTTAATCCCTGATTAATTTAGTCATTTTCCATATTAATTACAGTGGTATCACCTCTTTCTTAAGGTCTTTATCTACTTTCTTTGAGTAAAGCTATTTAATACTGGAGATTGTGGAAAACATTTGTTCATGATTATCCAGACATACAGTCAAACAAGACTGAAACAAGAGCAGCATGCAAAAATGTATTTAAGGACTACCATCCCAAAATGCTGCTAAAAGCTATTAACCAGTACGTGTTAATTGCCACAGCATTCATATTAATTTTCACTTCAGGCCCGACATTGTGGAATATTTCCCCTGATACATTTTAACCAAAGTTTAATTTAAGGAACTGCTTCTATCAACACTTATGAAAATTAACAGCCAAGCAATTAGCACTCATGAATTATCCCTTCCCCCATGCCTTCTACACTGATTTTTAAAACAGTTGCTACAAGAGAAATTGTTGGTTTTCAAGCCATTGCCAAAATTAGCCACAAGAAATCTTTTAACACTACACAGAGGTACCATTCCTTGCAACAGGATTCTTAGCATCTGTCCAGCTAAAAATGATGTTTAAAAAATCATGCTAAAAAATCATCACCTACTTTTAAATTCTCTCCAGTAGCCAAGTAAACCCACAAAAGCCCTATAAGGTCAGAAAACCTAGACTTGTATAATTCTTCACTTTCAACTAGTAGTGATGAAAATAGAAATAGAAATGGAGAAAACTATAGTCTGCTCTGCATGAAGAAAAGGCTCTGGGTGTTGTAACTCAAGCTTATTCTGGAGCTGAATGATCCCTTCCTTACATTTTTACTGCAGTTTTCCAACTTTCTTCTTTGATTATTTTGTATACATTTAGCATCTCTTTTTTGACTATCCTTTAATATTTCTGTGTCTGCTGACATTCTTCTGGGGATGCAGGAGCAGTTGTTTGGTGGCAGACATGTAAAAAATGGAATTGACATTTTAGTGATTAAAATTTCTTAAAGATAGCAGAGATTAGGAAGAAAAATGAGTGTGTACTGGCTTCAGAGATGACCTAAGGGGAACTGCAGAGAGAGGCCTTAGCAGGAGTTACTCATTCAGTACATAATTCCTACAAAGCTGGACATTTTATTCCAGCATAATTTTCCTCTACTCTAGTAAATAAATACATTTTTCCTTAGTGGGAATGGTCATGCAGTTGAATAGCTTTGGCAGTAATACTGTGCTAAGCCAGTATCTTTTCAGATTAGTATCTTGGAGAAAACTCCTTGCCCACTTTCCAGCAACTCATGAAAGGTACAACTGTGATGTGAAAGTAAATACTCTGAATTTCTACTGAAAAGATAACACATACTTTTAAAACAATTAATGAAAGCAAGCAGGAAATGTGTTGGTAAACTGAACGTTGTGACTCTCACAGTTGTGTCACTGAAATGAGCCACTACCACACTTCTAACTCATCTGTGGTAGGACAAGGGCTTCCAAATCTGCCTTATGGTCAGTCTTATTTTTCCAACCTTATCAACAGCTGGCAAGTTGGAACAGTAAGACACATAAAAATTGATTTTCCAATTCTGTAAGCAGAAATATACCTGCAGTTATTTAGAAAATGACTGATAATTTAATTTGCATGCACAAAAGGAAATAAATTTGGGCACCGATTTCTTAAGCCTTCAAGTAATTTTCTCTACAAATGACAACTGAACTAATTATGAAGAACTAACAGCTTCTTTTCATGAAATACTCTTAGCAAGAGTTTTCAGGATTTATTAACCAAGATGTACAACCCATCACGATTTATAAACATTGCAAACAGATGCTGGGGTTAGGTTACCTTTAGCTAGAAAAAAACTTGACGTACAGCCAGGAGTAGTTTTTGTGTGTATTCTGCTGAGAGCTCAAGTTTTGCACTGTCCAGGAAAACACAGGCCTGTCCTGTGCAGCTGTGGAGCAAGAATCTCCTGAGTTTTTGGGCTGATTAGAATGCTTCCACTGCAGTTACATTTCACAAGGCATATTCTCTATTATTTTGATAATTAATGAACTGATCAGAATACGAAGAAATTAAGAGTGCTCTAAAATTTTATTATTTCATAAAATTGCAGAAGTGGTTATGAGAAAGACACTAAATTTGGCAGAAAACACCTGTGAGATGCAAGGATTGTGACACGTGGGCTTGGCTGACCCTGCAGCCTTCTCTTGTTAACTGATCAGCTCAGAACAACACACCAAATGTTGGAGGGGGGCGTCAGGAAGGACCCTGAAAACAAGGGGCTTATTTGATTTCAGGTGCATGAGGGAGCAGAACTGGGGGTCAGTTCAAACCCTGCCCAAAGCAGTTAAGATGGGCACAGGGGGACAAAGAGCCCAGTCAGCAAAGCTTCCCCCACGCTCTGCCGTGAGCCGGGCGGGCTCTACCCAACCAGCTGAGATCTGTCTCACAAAACTCAAATATACATATAAACCAAAGGCCTAGTTATAATCCCAAAGATTTCAGAGCCACCACGATCTCCAGAGTAAATACATAATTAAGTAGGGTTTTTTTAAGACATGTTTAATTAGGCCCCTAGCCCCTCCTCAGCCCCCCTGCCTCTCTCCAATTATGTACCACTTCCCCAGGAGATGTGTGGCTCTGTTAATTATGTAAATAAGTGATGCACTATTCCCTGAAAGAATGGTATTTATGTGAAAAATACTGCTCATCTATTATCAATAAAAATAAATATGAGACCTATGATATTTCACTAAAATAACTGTAAACAGCTAGGTGGTGTTTGAGTTCACATTGCTGTCTGAAAAAAAAACAAACCCAAACTGAAGGAAAATAACTCACTATTGAACTATGATGTTTCTTCTGTATCTGAGATGCTCAAGTAGGCATTTACAAAATAGACAATAGATATGAAAGTATAGAAAAACAAATTTTACAAGCATATTATTGAGAAATTCCTAGAGTAATATGAGGCATGCTGTTAAAATTAATCTAGTGAGATTACACTCTAACAAAAAGCCAATTCAGCTATTTTGCAGAGTTCAAAAGGTGTTTTGATTTCTAGATCACAATGGAGTTGACTCATGTCATACCACAGAAATCACAACCTAGTAACATGGAGATATTTAATTAGTATCTCAAACGTATAGAGCAATTTTCTTCAAGCAGACCAAACACCTACAAATGCATCAGAAAATTAAGCTGTTTATTATATTCAACTACAACCCAGTAAAAAGCAGTTTGGATTATAAAAGCTTCTGAGAAAAATTCTAACAGGTAGCCCAAAGCATGCTCAAGTATTGAAGCAACAGGACTGGGACACCACTGAATTACAATAAATTTCCCTTCCTATAGAAGTGTTTATTTTTACTTCCTTTGTGCACAACTGTTGGAAATACGTTTATTTAAATTTTTGCCAAACTGCAAAGTCATGGCATGAGAACAGCCAGCTTTGAGTTCAGAAAAAAGGCATCTTAATGTAGTCTGGCTTAATCCTGGCTCCAACCAGGACAGGACTGAAGTACTGTGATCATTTATTACTGAGTCCAGAAATGTTGAAATACTATGTCAGCACTAATTATAGTTACCACATACTAATACATACAAAAAAACAGAGGCAGCTTTTGCTATGTAGATGTCATTGTTTAAAAGTTATCATTTCATAAATATTCCAAATACTTCTAGATACCTACTGGAATTACATATCTGACTTTCCACTTTAAGAATATTTAACAGAATATTAAATTCTTCTATCACAATGATAATGAAGCTCAAACCTCCAACTCCCACAGGAGATTCTACAAATAAATCCAGAAGAAAACAGATCTGTGCAGTATTTATGATTGTTTTAGAACAACATGATACTGATCCATCACACCCATGTTTATACTTCAGTTTCCTGAGTCTATAACAAAGAAAAATATTTGACAATACACAAGTAAATAAAATGCACACAAGAAAAGAGAGTTACCTACAATTCTGAGTAATATCAAATGCAAGCTCTTGAAATTAATGAAGTTAAGGAACGAATCTGACCTACCAGGTCTGTGATGAACCTCCTCTGTGTATCATATACATGAGGACTTGCATCGAACTGCCTTCTTTAATCCTTTTCTTACCCCAGATAGTGACCTGTTGTAGCTACAGTTTTCCACCCTCAAAACAGACACTGGCTTTTCCCACTCTCCTTCCAGCATTTTGAGGATAAACGCAGCATAAATCATGGAACATTTATCAAGTGCTGTGATGAGGTTAGACAGAGTAGGATTTTTTTTTTAGATGCCACATAACCAATATTTTATACAAATTTAAGGAACTGTCCCACCACCAACTCTGTGGAGAGATGTCCTAGGACTGGAAAAGAAACCAGCAAAGTAAGGGACAACTAATGGTAAGGGGTAGTTTTGTAATGGAAATGGGAAAAATGGTTCTACTGGACCTGGAACCATTATATTTAACACTAAGAAGCATGTTTCCAGAGAACCACTTTAAAATAACTGATGGCCTACTATAAAGGCTAATTAAAGCTTGAACAAGCAAATGCACACAAGAACTGCCTTAGACCCATCATCTTCAGGTCAAGAAACACCTGGATAGGGGACAAAACCATCTGGTCCACTTACCTTGCCATCAAACTTGGAGTACTCATTGAAGGGGTTGTTCAGCTGCAGTGGACACTGCTCCAGCCGCACAGACAGGATTGACTGCTTCCCAGAACACGGAGATTTCACTCTGAAATTCTTTTTTTCAAATAGTGAGCTCAGCTCCTCTGCTGCAGATCAGAAAAGAGATTGGAGTAGTTGTACTAGCAGACATACAGAGGCTGCTGTTGACCACAAAAAGATAACCCCGTAAGAGGGAGAACAAAATCAAATGCGTAACAAGAACAAAGGCCTTAGCAGCACATAATGTACCACCACTCCTTCAAGCCCAAAGACAGGAACCAGAAGTTTGAATGATGTTACCACTTAGGCTGAGGAAAAAGATGGGGAACGGAATGGAACTGATCACTACAAGACTCAAGTAGTCAAGATAGAAATCAAGATTCAAAGAGAGGATTGCACATTCCAGGTCTTTCTGATTGTCTGCCTGTGTCTAGATGAACAGTAAATGCTATGCAAAGAACTGTTGACCCACCCACATTCCACCATGCAAAAGCATTTCAGCTGAGCTTGTAACAAGGGATATTCTGCTGCACTACAGGACAGTATGATATTACCCTGCCACTACACTGCAATGTCACTGTGCTGTCAGCTGCAGGCTTGGGACTACATTTGATCCAAAAGAATAATTTCTTCAGGTTTTACTTCTCATGGTAGACTGCATAGGGTCTCCTCTCTCAAAAACATGACAAACCTGAAAACACCATTCCAGATAAACAGTAAAAAGCAAAAGCTTCCCAAAAACAAAGGTGGTAAGAGTGAGTTCTTTGTGTGATCTGTGAAGGCTCAGAAAAGCCTCAGACGAGCAGTTCTTGTTATACAAAGAGACTGCAAAGTTTGATTTCCAGCAACAGTTTAACTCCTAATTTACAGGCATACTTAAAAAACCCCTACAATTAGGGCTTCTTATGTTGTAAGGACATTACAAAAATCAGGACAGAGCCTGGGGTGGTTTAGCATATCAACACCAATGGGTCTCATCTGCAAGAAACTGTGACTGAATCTGGACAATTTTTTTCCACATCTGCTCTAGAAACCAAGTACCCCCAAACTCCATCAATCACTACCTGGGAACCAGCACCAGCTCTCCTTGACTGACTCTGCTCTGCCTTCCCACATTTGGATTCTCTCATGTCTCAGATTTACATGTTGCTCCTTCAGGGACACGAAAATGCTCCTAAGGCAGAATGACTTGGGATTGGATCTGAAGGGAGTTGGTTAATTTCTTAACATGAGAAATTAAAACTTGTCAAATTATAACTAGTCAAAAGCTTAGTTTATTTTTATCAGCAGATTGCCTGAAAACTCAGACAGTTGGCAAAAGTGCTAAATACTGGCACTAAGAAATACCCAACAGTCTTGTGAGAGGCTGTGATTAACCAAAAAAACTAGATTATATCATTTTTAAATGTGGCAACTCAAACTCCATTAGGTCTATCTCACATGACTGGAGAGCTTAAATAACTACATTCTATAAGGCTGTTAAATTCAGCTGGCTGAGATACAGTTTTCCTTTTCCAGAAAACTTATAACTTAAAATATTTAAACTTATTTAGGAAGAGGAACACAAAAAGCTAGAATATAGATGAGATTTCTGAAAAACTACCATCTTTCATGGAGCATTTTGTCAAATAATTCAAATAATTCCTAATAGACTCAGGCTGTAAGAGTTCAAATTAAATATATCAAGAAATAAAAAATTAAGTTCTCAAGTTTCAGAGGAAAAAAGCTTGTATGTTACATTAAACTAGCTTGAATGGCACAAATTTAAATTCTTAATTCAAACAAAGTTTTGCCAGTAGTCTATACTCTGTATTTTTCAGCTTTTGTGGCTTTGTTAGCTATCTGTGCTGTTGCACATGGCAAGGCCTTTGAAAGATTCTCTTGATATATCGTTAATTTCCATTTTATATGCTCTAAAATGAGTAAATATAAGATGTAAATACAATGCCTTATTTCTTGCTTTCATCTAAAAATACCCAGTATTTTACAAAAAGGAGCAACCTGTTGTATGTATATCCTGTTTGCTCTGTAGGACCCCCAGACTGTCTCATTAGCATAATTTGATCTCTGCACTGCAGGAAGCTGAAACATCCTTTTCATTTTGCTGAAAAAGAACCGATGCACAGAAAGGTGATGTGAACTGATGGCACATCAGAACACCACCAGCCCTCCACTGGGTCACACTTCCAGCCAGTTAACTACCTCTGAAGCATCTGTATAGATCCTAACACCCAAATCAGTCCAAACTCACAAAGGCTTTCAAGCCCATTCACTACGACCACCTTATCTTTCAGACTCCTTCCTGACGCAGCAAACAGCCTGTCTCCTGACAGCAGCCAAACAGATGAGTAGAAAATGCTCTCATCACCATACACAAAGCTACTCCTCTACTCCTCTCTCATTCCCCTTTATTCCAGTTAGTACTTTTATTTTTGTACACAGCAATAAAAAATGGGACTCACAAAAAAAATACTCAATTGCCAGATGCCTCCACTGATGGGCATATTTCCATGTGCAGGACATGGGAGATGTTTGTACAAGTGTCTCTCTGCAGTGAGGCACCTCTGGAGGTGGTGTCACCAGCCTCTAACCAAACATCATTTCCACAATGGCAACCACAGGCATTGAAAGCCCAGACACAGTCTGGGTGGCAGCCCAATCCCCCCATCTGAGAACAGTTATTTCTCTTGTTATTGCTTCCAATAGCACTGAACTCAGGAGCAGAACAATGCCTGAAACACACACGATAAAGAGGAAGACCCAGTAGATAGCCTTTGGGGCTCCTCTTTTCCTGGGCTCTTCCCACTGTGTTGTTCTTCACGCCAATATGTGACAAATCTGCAGAATGGCAGTGACCCAGCAGGGAAAGAAAACCAGCTCTGCCGATGGAGAGAGATCCAGAGTGCCTGGAGTTTTCATGTAACTTGTTTTCTATTTAAAGATATTCTGCAGCAGGGAGGGACTGATCTATCTGCCTACAACCCCAGAACATTCTTGCAGAGGGGGACACCTCTACTACTGCTGGATGACTGACTGTCCCTCTCTGCAGGCCAGCATGTAAAAGGAACTAAAATGTGATGGTGGAGCCCACGTGAATAAAAACCTACAAACAGTAGAGACT